TACACACATTTTTTGGGGGACATAATTCAAACCATGACACATGGCAACGGGCTTCTGTAGAAGTGATATTAGAGATTAATGCCTGTAATGCAGAGAAAACTACAAAACACGTAACTGTCTGGCTGAGGTCTAAGAGCAGGACTGTCGGGGTCGGAGGCTCTTGGGGAGGTCAGGAAGGCCTAGTGGAAAGGGAGGACCAAGGCCCCTTCACCCCTTCCTGTCCTGGGGGTCTCCTTGTGTCCGGCCTCCTCAAGCCTCCTCATGATCCTCCTGACCAGCCCCCACCTGAGACTCCACTGAGTTAGGGATGACTTCGTGAGTCTTTCTGGGACCCAAGGGCTCCATCTACTGCTGAGGGGAGGGAGAAGAGAAGGTGATGATAGCGTGAAGTTGCCATTAGTTAAAAAAATAAAAATATATAACCCTGTCATAAAAAATTCACAGCCCAGGAGAGAGAAGAGACAACTTCCACGTATGACTCCCTACCCCAATTTCTCAAGAAATAAAGTATGAAATGTGGCAGCCACCACAAGTCAAGTGCCCATCACCACCCCCTCCCACACCAAGCAGGATGATGTTAGCAAGCTGAGGGGCAAAAGTGTCAGGAAGGGAAGGAAAGGAGGACCAAGAGATCACACACTGGGTTGAAGTGGGAGGAAATCACTGCTGTGCAAGGTGCCCAGATCAATGACAAGGAAGTGCAAGGCATGGGGAGAAGAATGGAGGGGGTGGGGGCTTTCAGACAAGGGCTCTCCTAAAACAGAGAATGCTCACTGTCCCTGTCACTGGGGAGTGGAGTAGCCCAATCTGCCCCCTGGGAGCTGGAGGAGCCATTAGGCCCCTGAGTCCCCTCCCCATCCCCACTCCCACTCATGCATCAGGCCCCTCTTCTACCCTGGAGGAGTTTGGGGAGGTGATGGCAGAGACTCTTGAGGAGGGGGACAAACACCTCTTGCACAAAAGCTTGTGGAAGTAAATACTCAGCTCTTGGGATGGAGAGAAGGAGGAGGTTTCAGTCTGAAGGGAGTTCAGAGCCCTTCTCCCTCACGTGAGCAGCCCCAGAGCAGGCACCAGCCCCACCTGCTCAGGGCTGTACCTTGTGAGGTCCACAGCTGCCCAGGTCCCCAGTCCAGAAACCTGAAGTTAGGGGAAGGCCACCTCTGGTGGTTTGCTTGGAAGGAAGGAGAAGAGGAGGTAGAAGCTGATGTTGACTTGGGGAGGGGGTGACAGGGAACTCCACCACCCTGGACTGAGTGTTCCAGCCCTGAGCCACCCTCCTGGGAAACCCCATATATCCCTGTCCACTATCTCCATGGTGTGGGGAAGTAAGAAGGCCAGAGCACACCTGGAGCCTTTCCATTCTTTCACTACAAAGCTTTCCCAATCCCTGCTGGCCTTGGAGCCTCTGCCAAATGCAAGCAATGGTGGCTGATGCCGTTGCTATAGCAAGGTTTGAATAAATAGCTTGTGTTTGCTCTCATTTGGATTGTCTTTGCATATTTCTACAGAACCATCTCTCCTCCCCCACAGACAAATTAGAAAAGATAGAGAGGGGAAGGGAGTGAAGAAGTTCCTCAGAGGAAACACACCTGTCCAGTCAGAGCAGTTTTGCCCAGGTGGAGGCAAAGTGGCTGGTTGATAGCAAGGACTGGCCAGCCTCTGTATTCTCCCCGGTGATTTCTGGCGGCCTTTAAAGCTTAAGTTCCTTGGTTGGTTTGGAGGCAATGATGTTGAAGGCCATGGAGGTGCCAGGTATTCTCTTTGGCTGAACCCAATTGAGAGACTGCCCAGGGAGTTTGCACATCTCTGCCCTCTACTATATGAAGTCCTCCTGGCCCCACTTGCCAGCCATGCACAGCAGCGGGGACTGGGAGCTGATCTTCATGCTCACATGAAGTTTAGGGAACACAGCTTGGCCTCTGGAGGTTTCAGCATCAGTCCTTACATTCAAGTTCATTCAGCTTCCTTCTGGCACAGCTGAAGACAGATTTCTTCTTAGAATCTTGAGGAAACTTCCAGTGGACCCCTGCAGGTCCTGGGTCATTCCAGCGGGAGAGGTTGGGGTCACACCATAGGGAAAATTCTGCTGGTCACACACCTTTCAAGGTGTCCAGCATGCATGCAGTTTCTATTGGACACATCCTGGGGAAAACTGGTTCTGCCTGGGGCTCCCTCCACCAGCGCGGTGATATGGTGGACTGGGGAGGAAGCCAGAGAGACATGCTGGACTTCTGGGTTCTGGGGTGCTGCGCCTTATAAATACTCTTTCTGGGGCACAACCCAGAGGCCTGGGCGGGCTGCACTGGGGCCAAATTGCATTCTTGGTGCAGGAAAAGCAGGGCTGGGGAGTCCGAGGCAGAGAAGCCCTGGAGGTCCTGGACTCTCTCATAGTTAGGTTGTATTTGCTATTCTAGATGGAGGTCTGGCCAAAGCTAGCCTCAAAATAAGGACATTCTTGTTTTGATTTGCGCTGGTTGAGAACGCTTGCTGTGCACACGGCTGGTCTTCTCCTCCTTTAGGCGACATAGGGAGCTAGCAGTTTGAGCTCTGGTCCATCAGTGAGGCCCAGATGTCTTCCATGTGTAAGCAATGGACACCATCGACTCAGGTTGCCAGGGTGCTTGTAGTCAGTGAGTAGCTCCATGTAAGGCTTTAGTTCATAGTCTTTATGGCCCACATTCA